TAAAACAAGATAATATTTAATATTTAAGTTTGTAAACTATTTTTTCGACGCCATTAGGGAGGCGAAAGTCATTGGTTGCCGTTCCCCCCCCCCCCCCATAAAAAAATTGTGGAAACAGAATCATTTGGAGGCCGCTTCTAATGGCTTCTGTCTCCTAACTGGCTGCGGCCGCCAAATTGGAGGCGGGAATGTTTGCCTCCCGCCGGCGGATGTAATGAAAAATAATTGCTCGTTTACTTTAATGCAATTAAATATTAACTAGAAACAAATGTTAAATATTAAATGACATCAAACTTCATTTTATATGATTATGCGCAGTAAGGTGGATCGATTTTAAAAATTTTTGAAATTTGCTTTGCCTGAGCTGCGAATCGATGTCTTTTGGTGAAAAAAGAACCTTACTTTTTTTTTTTTTTAATTTAAATGAGTTTTAGAGGTTCCTCTTTGGATTCTAAATTTATGACGGATCCTAATATTGTTGAAATTTTTTCTTCTAAACTATATCAACCTGGTACTCAAAAGAAGCAGAAAAATACGCTTATTTTGAATATATTATTGCTTTAATTTAAAACTAAGTAATTAAAAAATAATGTTGTCTTTTTTAATAAAAAACCCCCGTCTTCATCAAAACGGGGGTTTCAAGGTATATTTTTGCAAATAGTTTTTTTCACTAAAAATTTTTTTTTAATAAAATTATTATTGATAAAACAAGCATTTTTTTCTGCTTTTTTTGAGTCCAAGATTGATATTGAATTGAAAAAAAAAATTCAAAAATTTTAGGATCTGTCAAGGATTTAGAATCCAAAGAGGAACCTCAAGATCTCATCAAAATCAAAAAATATTTTTTATAATTAATAGACATCGATTTGTGTCTCAGGAATATTGATTTTTAAACTTTTTTTTTTTGCTATGAAAATCGATCCACCCTGACGTGCAGTATTTAAAAAAATTCTAATTTTTTTTTTAAACTAATTAAATTAAGTAGAATAAATTAGTAGTTTTGACTGAAAAAAAAAAAAAAAAATTGACTGATTTTGGTGAAAGTATTTTAGAACAAGTCGACAAGCTAAAATTACGTTAAATACTATCGTTAAATATTTATTTTTATAAAAAAATTATAATTTATATATAAATACTTTTATAAATATTATTTATATTTTACTCTATACTTTTAAAACATTTAAAAATATAGACTTATCTACTTTTACACGTTTTAAAGTTAAGCGATTAAAAGTTTCAAACGTTTAAAAGTTAAAATTATATTCGATAGTCCTAGAAAAATAACCGCTGTGACAAAATAATTTTTTTTTTTCAAAATTTTTTTTAAATAGTCAATAAATCATACAAAACAAAACTTTGATGTCAAATATTTAACATTTGTTCTCAGTTAATAATTTAATTGCTTGTTAACTTAAAGGCAAACGTGCAATTTTTCATTATTTCCGCCGCCGGAGGCAAATATTTCCGCCTCCAATTTTCGGCCTCAGCCAGCTGGGAGGCAAAAGTTATAGCAGGCGGCTTCCAAATGGTTTTGCCTCCAAAATTTCTACTAGAGGCGGCCACTATTAGCTTCCGCCTCTCTCTATTGTGGGCCTGAAAAACATTTTGCCTCCAAAAATCTCTGACTACGGCCGTCAATAAAAAGGCGGATGCCATCGGAGGCGGAACATAAAATATTTTGCTGCTAAAAATTAATTGGGAGGCAGCCGCCGCACAGTGAGTCAAAATCCATAAAAAACGGCAAAAAACCCCCCATAAAAAAACTTTTGCTAGAAAATAAATAATTAATTTATAATGTCACTAAATACCACTAAAAGACAATAAACAATTTTTTTTTTGAATAATTTTTAAGATTTCACCAATTTATACGTCTTTTTCCGAGACTTATTTATTTTATTTTATTTATCGGAAAACTCGTTCAAAAATGTCTCGCTTTAGTGTCACTCTTTTAAGATTGATATAGGTTAAAACAGTTCAAAATTTAATTTGAAGTCATATGTTTAAGATGTTTGGTAACTATTAACAACATTTTTAACAATAAATTTTAATTTTAGATTTTCATTACTGAGATCTCAAAAATATGTCATAAATTGATTTTTTTAAATTAGTTTAATTATGAGTTAAGTTCAAAAACTAAAAGATTCCACTAGATTCCATGGTAGCTTTAATATTTTCCCATTAATAGGTATATATGAAAGCAGAAAAAATAAAAATCATTTGCCCCAACTTGCCCCAATTAAAATAAGACCTTTTAAATACTTCGTTTTTTTTTTGTATTTTTTTTTCCGTTTTTAATTATAACTTGCGCATAAAGTAGCGAATAATAGTTCATTGCTTGCATTCATCACACAAACAATACATTTAGTTTCATTGCTAAAAAAACTCATGCTCAAGCAGATGGTGCTAATTATCAAACCTCAAAACCAAAATATGCAATATTTGATGTTATAGTGCATATTTTAAAACTCAAACTTGCGTGTAAATTAACTAACAATAGTTCATTGCTTACATTAAACATGAAAAGAATACATTTAGTCCCTATAATTCATAAGTTAGGAATTAATCATGATAATTTACTCAAAGCTCTTATACGTGAGTTTTGTAGACTGGAGGGTCTGTACTATGAAAGTATTGACAAACATAAAATGTTAAATCTAAAGAAAACTCTAATAATATTTAAATGTACATTCATTTGCAGTTCCGACGTTAACCCACGGTCTAGAGCTCTGTGAAAATAAAGATGCAACAATGAAAAGACTCGACACATTTGGAAGGAACGCAGTTAAATCAACTTTAATGTCTCCAAGTATAGTAAAAACTATATACACTCTCTATTTAAAATTAAGGAGATCTCAAATTATATACACCAAAACAAAATAAATCAATTTATCCGCCTTTTTCTTTGTCTTCCTTTGAAAGACAAAGAAAGTTGAGGAAGAGCGCATGTTAAGTTAACTCCAATCACTACTCTGTCGGCGTACTCTACTTAGGCTAAGCCTAACTAACAGTATGTATTGCACTCTCTAACATCGTGTGCAATCCTATCCGCTTACTCAATGCTATCTTTCTAATTCGACTACTTCTATCTTTCACTCTAACATATCTTTGTTCTTCCTAAACTCACCTTACTCTCAGTCCGTAGAGCAGGTATGACGCTCCTTCGGGAGCTCAACCAGTCTTTGCGGACTTCTGATAAAGTGACCTCTATATGGCAATTTGCCGGAGGAGGTAAAACCACAATACCAGAGCGTATGTTAAGTGAAAGAAAAGATTATAAAAATACAAATAGTTCAATCAAAAATACAAAAACTCAATCGAAATTTTTTTATTTGAAAATAAAATATCGCATACATTATGTTGCTTTTTAACATAAAAATCACCTTCAATATGTTGTTTTTTAAACATAATTATCGCATACATTATATTGTGATTTAACATAAATTTAAAATATTTCTTTGACTGTTTTTGTAGTTAAACTACAATTTCTTTTTTTCCTGTGATGTTGTACGAAATTATTTTCTAATTGTTAGTGCCCAAACCTAGGCAATTTAGGAATAAATATTGACTGTAGGGTATCACATTTTCAGGGAACAGTGATTCAATCTGGAATCCGGTTTGCAAATCCAAGGTCTATTATCAAATTATATAAATCATTAGCAGTTACGACGCTAATCCAAGGTCTAGAGCTCTGTGAAAATAAAGAGTCAACAATAAAAGGACTCGACACACTTAGAAAGAACGCAGTAAAATCAATTTTTAATATCTCCAAGTATAGTAAAAATTATACACTCTCTATTTTAAACGAAGGTGATGTCAAATTATATTCACCCAAGCAAAAAAAAATTATTTACCCGCCTTTTAAACAATAAAGTTTTTGAAATTATTAATTCCCTACTTAACTACTGTTCCCCATTGGCCACGTAAAAAGACGCATTTTAAACGTCTCATACACGTTTTGGGCGTCTTTTACATTTTATAAAAACTTTGACTTTATTTATAGTTGAGTCTACTGATATAACAAGAAACATTTAAAGCGTAAAACAACGTTAAGCGTAAATTTGAATTCATTGAATCTAACTGAAACCTAAGGTTTTTCATGGTTTTTGCAAACAAGCGAGCACGTTAGACAAAATTATATCTAATTTAACAGCGCGCAATTCTTCACGTCAGTTTTTTGCATCAGCTATTTAACGTAATTAAGAAGATATCCAAAGAAAAATATCAAGTTTAGGCCCTTTCGCTTTCAAAAATTTTTATTTTGTGTTTGTACTGATTGGTTTATTTATTTTAAAAATCTCGAAGCTCATGGTATTATTTTGTGTACAAATATTCGGTGATTTTATTATCAACGAGTTTCAAGTTTTAGCTTAATACTGTGAGGCAGAAGGTAAACGTTTCTTTTTGGTAAATTATTTAAATTATGAACTATGCAAGGGATTATGGAAGTAAATTGCTATAAGTTAAAACTTATGTGAAAACTTTGATTTTAACGTTTTTAATGTTTACGGAAAAAAAAAGAAGAGGTTTTTAGCCATTTATCGAATATTTTAATGCTGTAAACAAGGAGACTTTTTACTTTCGACATTTTTGGAATATAAATAATTAACACATTTGTTTTAACTGTTTTTATGACGCTGCCCCAATACGTTTTATGCGTTTTAGTGGTAGTTTTTTTTGACACTTAGGTTGAAGAAAGACTTATAAAAGCAATAATAAATTATATAAGAAAAGCTTTAATTCTACTTTTTAAAAATATATAAAAGTAATAGTCGAAAATAAACGGAAAACACAAAAATTAAAGTTTAAAAACGTAAACTTATGTTTTTGAGAAACGCATATTGTTCGGATCTCTCCTTAACTACGCTGAGTAAAGAAAGACCTTTCTACCTACCGTCTAACCTTACTGTAGCAAAAAAAATTTAAATTTATCATTTGCATATTGAAATCCAAAACCTATCTATATGTGGAAAGAAAAAAGAATCAAGGCAACATTACGCAAATTAAAAAATAAAATTAAAAAATCTTTCTAAAATATTATTTCATTTACATTTCATCATGCTTGTATTTCAAAGCTTCGCCGAAATCCGTTGCCTGGCTACCAACAAATAAATCATATTTTTCTACAACTTCACTCTTTGTTAATTTTCCATCCTGGAAAAAAACTTTTGTTATAACCAACATGAAGAATAGACCATGTTATATCTATATTATTCAAGTGATACTTATTTTATTAATAAGGTAATACTTACATCATCAGTATCAGCTTCGCTAATCAAATGTTGAGCTTCTGAGGTAATATGGTCGTAATCAGGAGGCAGTATCCATGCTGCTACTTCTTCTTTATCCATTTTGCCATCTTTATTAATATCACGATAATTAGTGAACTGCTCTCGTTCACTCTTCACCCATTCAGGCTCGTTACCAGCAACTCTGTCTTCCTCTGGCCATAAATCACCTTTAAAAAATTCGTTTTTAAAAACATTAGAAAAAACAACAACACATAAAACACTATCTACCAAAAAAATTATTTGTATAAAGAACAAAAAATTCAACCTATGTACTCATCAAGAGAAATGCTTCCATCTTTATTTTTATCAATATCTTCTAGAGTTTCTTGAACAACTAACGGTTTCATGTTATCATCGCTCTCTGGATGCAAAAACGAAGCAAACTGTTCTCGACTAAGCCTGCCATCATTATCTGTATCAGCTAGTTTGAATCTTCGTTCATCACGAGCAATCATATCTTTGTAATGAGCAATATTGCCTTCTGAGAATTTAAAATAAGACATTAAAAAAAGACCAACAAAAAAATAAAAATCACAAACAACTAGTAATTAAATATTTAATCAAATAATTCTCAGTACAAGAATATACTTTTATAAAAACAATTTATTTAACAATATATTTTTAGTAAAAATAATATACCAACTAAGTTATATAAACAACAACCATAATTGCTACTTCTAAACTATTAGGGTGTTAGGGTGAATAGGAAAAAATTTGTTAAAAACACCAAGGGTGATTTGTTACAAAAACTCTGGGTGATTTGTTACCAACACTCAAGGTAATTTGTTAAAAACAACAAAATCAAAAATTTATGAATTCAAACAACTTATTAACCCCAAATATAAAAGTTTTTACTAACTGATATAGCAGACAAACAGGTTGATCCATTGCTTGAGTGATTTTCTACTTGGACTCTTCTACAGCTTGTGGTCCGGACAACATACCTGTTATAGTCTTGCAGAAGTGTTCTCCAAAGCTGTCATCTATTCTTTCAAAACTATTTAACAAGGGTTTATCATAGTCTTGTTTTCCAGTTTGCTGGAAAGCAGCATCTGTTCTCCCTACTTTCAAAAATTTTGAAGAGCAATCTGACTTGTCTAATTACCGTCCCATTAGTCTTTTTATTATCGTAAGCAAGGTTTTTGAGCCTTTAATTAACAAACACTTAATCTCTAATCTTGAATCTAACAACTTTCTGATTATCAATATGGATTTTGACCTTTTCATTCTACTGCTGATTTGTTAACGGTAATAGCCAAAAGGTTTTTTGTGCATTAGATAGATGAAATTTTGTGCATTAGATAGATGAGAAGTTAAGGCTCTTTGCTCTAGACATTTCTAGAATAATCACTCTTGACATTTCTAAAGCCTTTTATAAAGTTTGGCATGCTGGTCTTCTCCATAAGCTTTTTTCCTACGGTGTATCAGGTAACATCTTTAACATAGTTGAATCCTTTCTTACAATACTTTTTTAACTTACAATGATCTCTCAGAAATTCTCACATCTAAGGTGGCATTGTAACCATTTATTCTTGTCTTGATAAGAAGCCAACAAGCTACGATTGCTTGAAGAAGGCATTTGTGCTTAAAAAAGATCTCACTTCTGCTACAGCATGGAGCTCCCAGTAAGATATGAACTTTAACTCAGATAAAAATCAACTTTTTTTAGCTAATTGTTATCGCAATAATCTAGATCTTTCTATATTTATGAACTTGGTAATATACTTAATGAGTCATCTATCCTTTGTCTTCTAGGATTAGCTCTTACTTCCGATCTTTCTTGGAAACCATATACCAAATCCATTAAAAAATTAGCATCTGCTAAGTTTGCATATCTTTATTGTGTTTGCCACTTTCTTACTCAGGATTCTATTCTTTATCTCTTTAAATCTAAAATCCGTCATTGTATGTTATAATGTTGCCATATTTGGGGCGGATCTTCTAATGATGCCCTATTAGACAAGATGCAAAAACGAATTGTAAACATAGTTGGACCTGCTCTCACAACCAACCTCCAACCATTACCACATCATTGTAATGTTCTCTTTCTCTTTCTCAGGTTTTACCACATCGTTACGTCATGTTCTCTTTCTCTTTACTGTAAATACTATAATGACTGTTCTTAAAAAAATATTCTTATTTGTGAAGAATAGACCATGTTATATCTTAAAAAAATTCTTATTTGTCTAAATTTTTTCTAGAAAAAATAAAAACAAATAAACTAATAAATTTTTTTTAAAAGAACTTTAACAAATAAGACTTTTTTGAAAGAACTGATGTAAGCCAATTCTGGCTAACATTATTCTTTGGAATTTGCTCATTTCATCTTGGTTTCCTGATTCATATAATTTGTTATCTTTTAAGTCATCTGTTAATCATTATTTTGCTCTATAAACTCTTTTCTCTTTCAGTAACTTCCAACTCTAATAATTTTTTTTTTTTTTTTTTTTTGTTCTTTTCTTGAATATTCAATATAGTTATACAATAAGATAGTTGAGATAAAAATCGTTATACAATAAAAGAAATTATATACTAAAAAGAAAGAACGCGGAGACTCGCAGAAGACCTTCTGGTCTTATCATCGAGAACCGCTCGTGAACATTAAGTACATTAAATTAACATAAAGTATAAAATCAAAACAATGTCGTATTAAACGTGAATTTCGTTATAATATATAAATAAAATTGGAATAAAGAAATTGTTGATACTCTTATATATAAATACAAAAATATTTTAAAAAGTACTGTTTTCACAAACACATAAGTTATGGATCAGATATAATATTTATATATTACCTTATGTAATAAACTTCATATTCATTTTTAAAAGAATTTAAAAATATAAAAAAATGTCTTCAAAAGACAAAACAATTTCTTTTAGTTTTTTCTTGAATGAAAGATAATTCCATTCATGGGAAAAATTAAAATTTTTTAAAACTATTTTGTTCCATAGAAAAGCTCCTCGATATGAAATACATGACTTTCCAAAATTAGTTAAAGATAAAGGTTGCTGAATTTGATTATCATTTCTTAAGTTATATTTATTTTTATCTTTTAAGGTATATAGATTATGAAAAGAAACTGGAGATTCGTTGGTTTTACACTTGAACATAAAACAAAGTATATTAAAAATATTTAGCTGATAAATATTAAGAATTTTTATTTGAAATAATAATGGTTTGGCATGAGCAAATCGATCTTTATAATTGATAAGCCGAGCAACATGCTTCTGCTGACGATAAAGAGGTAGCAGTTTAGATTTATTGGTATTACCCCAAGCAATATTTGCATAATTTATATGGCAATGGATTAAAGAGAAATATAATTGTGTTAAACTGTGTTTATTTAAAGCATTTCTAGCCTTGTACATTACTCCTATATTTCGAGCAACTTTGTTGCACAATAAATCAATGTGATACTTCCAACTAAGGTTTTCATCAATATTTATTCCTAAAAAGTTAGTAGTTTTTTCTCTTTTTATTTGAACTTTGTCAATAAAAAGTAAGGGCATCACAGGAGGTAGTAGCTTTTTTTTTGAAGTTTGATGAAAAAGTATCCATTTAGTTTTTTCAACATTTAGTGACAGCTTATTCACTTTAAACCAGTCAGAAACTTTTGTTAATTCAATATTCATATTTTGGAATAATGTTGTTATGTTGTTATGAGCTAAAAAAAGATTTGTATCGTCGGCAAACATGATCGTCGTTAAATTTGAGGCTTTAGGGAGATCATTAATGTAAATTAAAAAGAGAAGAGGTCCTAGTATAGAACCTTGAGGGACCCCACATGTTATATCTAATAAATTGGAAGAGACAGTTGTATTACTGTAAACAAACTGTTTACGGTTGCTTAAATAACTTTTAAGAATCATTAAAATATTTCCTTTAATTCCATATAACTCTATTTTTTTAAATAGGATTTTGTGGTCGATGGTATCAAAGGCTTTCGATAAATCTATGAAAACGCCTAACGTATATTGAGATTTTTCAAAAGATTCAGCAATATTGCGGGTAGTTTGGAGTATAGCGTGTTCGGTTGAATTACTTTTTTTAAATCCGTATTGATATTGATACAGTATATTATTTGAAGATAAATGATTGAAAATTATATTATATAAAATTCTTTCTAATAATGGTTAATAATTCTTTCTAAATAATGGTTGCTTGTAGCCTTATTAGAAGTGAAGATGTTGAAAAAAAAACTTATACTTTGAGACCTTTTATGGTTTTTTATGGTTAAACAACTTTTATGGTTTTTTATGGTTAAACAACTTTTATAGTTTTTATGGTTATGATTAAATTACACAAATTACTAAGTTGACACTAATAACTGCAATAACATTAATCAGATTAACATTAATCTAGTTATCAATAAAGAAGACTTTCAATCAACATCAAACATTAACTAACACAACGCTGGTCTATAGATTTCACCATAACAATTGAGATTTGAACTAATAACCTCTATTTTGATTATTAACATTTATTTTAATTATTAACCTTTATTTTAATTAATATTAATTTTATTTAAACCTTCTAACCTTTAAACTTTATTACTAAACAAACATTGCACTGAAGCTATACATTCACAGAAGTTATTCAAATAACACTAACTGAAATGTGGTATGTTGTGTCGCATTTGTGGTCATATTACAAAACATATAACTTTTGAAAAAAAGTTAGTAGAATGAACATGGGGTGTGCTAAAGGAAAGAGAGAAGGGTTAAAAATTCTCTTTTACTATTCCTCTTAAAAAAATTAAAATGTATAAAAAAATAAAAAAAGGGGCTAATCATTTAATTTGTGATTTTTAAAAAAGTTCCACGATAGAAGTCTGGCTAACTTTAGATACTAAAACTTTTTTGTGCTAGGGTTAGAGTTAAGGTCAGAGGGTCAAGGTCAGAAAGGTTAAGGTCAGAAAAGAGATAAAGGTTTTTAGCAGAAATTTTAACATCAATAAAACAATAATATATAACCAATAGCAGATAGAACTACAGTAACCAATTAAAAAATCAATATAGAAGATATTAAACGCAATAAAATCTGAAAAACTTCATTCAGTTAAAGCTAGAAGTCATAAGTAGAAGTAACATAAAGAATGTAACAATTATTGTAAGAATTATAAATTAAAAATAAAAATTAAAACCTAATGAGTATAAAACCTAAAAAGTAAATAATATTAAATATTAAGTAATATAAAACTTTGCAAAATGCTTCCAATTTATTGTTCAGAATTAGAAGTTAACACTGGAATACACTGATTGGTAATGATTTCTAAGCATTCTTCTTTTAAAAATCTACTAAAAAAAAGTATTTTTTTATGTTTTCAATATGGATCTGTCTCAGGGTTGTCAAAAAAACCTAATCCAAAAAAACCCAAAAAAACCTACCTTAAAAAAACCCAATAAAACCCAAAATATATATATATATTTTTAAAATGTCCAACTAATAACTAATAAATGTACAACTAATAACTCTGATTTTAACACTTATAAATGCTTTATTATCAGCAAATGCAACTTTTATATTGTAATTGCTCTTGTAAACACTGTATTTATATACAAAATGATATTTAGAATATATCCAAAACCGTTCAATCTGTTTTTGTAGCAAGTTGGTTATTTATTATTTTTTTAAAACATATAGCAAATTATTATAAATGCTATTGAAATATGTATTACAACATTAAATTAGTTAAATACTTATAAAGGAAATAAAAATCATTCTATTAACTAAATTTCAAGACAATACTAGTTATTTAGTAACTTTATTCTCCTCTCGAATGTCTATATTTCCAAACAAGCGTTTTATATATGTCATTATATATTTGGTATTTGATCTTTTATTTCTTAAAGCTTATGCTGTAAACTGCAAATTTCAGTACAAAACCACAAGCAAATTACTATATATAAAAATTATTCACAGTTTAGATATGGAAAGTTGTCAGGCAAAAAAAAATGCTACAATTTACTAGACTTGTCCTTATTAAGTGCATACAACTTTAAAATATAAAAAAAATTATGTCCAAGCAAGTTTGCAACATGTTTGCTCATTCAATGAGAGAACTTGTTGAAAGCTTGTATGCATTTCACAAGGACAAGATTTGTTGGTGAAAATGATACTCGTGCTCATCTGTCTTTTAACAGGTTTTGAATATTTTGCATTAGCTACAAGTTTACAACATGTACCACCAACAGGGGTGACTATGAACAGCGTGTTGAAAATGAACATCAGTATTAAGTTGTTAAAAGGTGAAGAAACACAATAGCTACATAATGTGTTACTTTGATTCAGTTGCAAAACTGAGCCAGTAAAACATCTTCAAGGAAAAAAAAAGAATCTGGTGGTGAAGACACTGTAATGGTTCTTAACAAATTCATTTTAGATATTCATTTGAGAACAACCAAAGCTTAGGCAATAATCCATTTGCAAAACAAATATCCCCATAAAAAATAAAAACACTATGAAGTGTCAATATCATCTAAAATCAGCTAATCATTACTCTCACATCATTTTAAAAATACAAATATGATGATTTAAAGAAAATTATAATAATTACTGCATAATGTTGATCAGGCTGATAACTTTTCCAAGAAGCTGGATAGTTTAAATGTAGTGATTAGGCTAACAGTTTTCTTCTATGATGCAAAAATGTTTAAAAAGTGTTCATAGTCATTCTGATTGACAATAATTTACAAGGTTGCAACATCATGTTGCAAACTTGTTGATTACATGTTGTAAGCTTGTGCAAACTAGTTTTTGAAATGATATGTTGAACATGTCAGTATAAAAAACTAGTTTGCAACATTTATATTGTCTTACCAACTTTGAATAACTCAATTGTCATAATAATTTTTATAGTGACTTTTTTTAGTCAAGAATATTCTGAACATGCTTTTAATTTAGTGCAATTAATTAACACCATTTATAGTTGATGGAGTTCTCTTTTGCACTACATGTAAAATGTGCTAGTAGACTAGTGGTAAAACATTTGGCTCGCGATCAGAAGGTTGGGGTTCAAATTACCTCTGCTGAAATTACTGTGCTTAATCTATTTCTCTGCACAGCGCCTTTGTTTAAAAATTAGAGTATTTAATGTTGTTTGTTAGTAAAAATGGTAATGTTAAGGATTGAGACCAAACATTTTTAAAAAATGAGTTGCTCCCTTGACTGAAGTGGTCATTGGAGCAATATGGGGTAGAATTTATGAAATTAAAAAAAAAAATTATTGTACACATACAATTATAAAAATTTGGTATTTTGATTGGTTTTTAAAAAAACCCAAAAAACCCATAAAACCAAAAAAAAAAACAACCAATAAAACCTGTTTAGGCTGAGTTTTTTTAAAAAACCCTGGGTTTTTTCCAACCCTGATCTGTCTTGGATAATGATATTATTTTGGAAGATTCTAGCATTAGAATTGAATGGCATTTACAGATTTTTTGGTTCAACATGAGACATAATTAAAAGATTCCAAAATGTATTATTTATTATATGTTTTATTTTAGTTTTTTATATATATATATTTTTTAATTATTTTGATATTATTTATTTTTATTATATTACTTTTATATTCTTTATTTTAATTTTTAATTTTTTCACACATTGTCAGCATTTAATTGACAATAACATAAAAAGGTTTTATTAAAATTAGATGTAATTATTAGACTCATTAGCAACATTAGTTAATTTAAAATTAAATTAATAAAATAATTTTAAATAAGAATCATCAAACAGAAGATAAAATTATCATTACAAGCGTTTAAACTTACCATCTGCAAAACCATATGTTCCTTTTTTATATTCATCAAATGTGACAAAATCATCTTTGTTTAAATCATTCTGCTTCATTTGCTCTTTAGCATCATTCCAAATATATTTATTTTGAGTAAATTTAATCCATTGTTTGAGCTCTTCAGTTGTAACAAAACCATCATTATCAGTGTCTACTTTATTGTAAAGTTCTCTAAAAAAATAATCAAAAAACTTATAAGTAATAAGTTATAAGAAAAAAAAACTTATAAGTAATAAGTCCTATTTCTTATACTACGTTAGCAGAAAAAATTTATTGTTAATAATTTTTTTTGTTATTAAATTTAAATTTTTTTGTACTTAAATAAATTTAAAATAGTATTTAAAATAACTGCTACTATCTTATTTCATAGGGCAAACCTGTACAAATCTGTACAAAACCTGTATAAACAAAGGTTTTTGATTGTTGGTTTAATTCTAAAACTAGAATTTAACAAAATCCTAAAAAAAATGTTTAAGCTTGATTAAAAAAATCTTAAACAAGCATATAAATACATGGTGAGACAACACACAGTAAATTTAGTTTAAAAGGAAGCTACAAAAAGACACAATAAATACTTGTAATTTGGCCGTTATTATTTCAATGGTGCAAATAATATGGTATAAAAACAGGTAATAAATTGAGTGGGAAAATATGCAATAGCCTGGAAGGAGTGTGAAACAAATAAAATGATTAAATAATAAGTGCAGTATCATTAAAATCAATTAGAAATACGTACACCTATGTGGAATACTATAGTAGAATATTATGGAAATTTAGAAAATTTTATGGTAAATGGGTAAATTCAAAACAAATTAAATTTTATAGTTAAATAATTTAATCTGAGATTTTAGCATTATTATTAGTATTATTATTATAACCTACATTAAAGTTCTATATTTAATAAATTTACGTTTTATAGTTGTTGGACAAAAATTTGTCGATTATCACAAAATTGAATATTTATCACTTGTGTAAAATCTTTTAAATGTACTTAACGTCTCGAGAAAGACTCACCCAAGTCGCTTTTTGCTTTCTTCTGGTGTTAACTCTTCAAATCTTCGAGCATCTTCTTTACCTAAAAAAGCCTCGTGGTCATACTCTTTATTGTGGACATCATTTTCATTGTGATTTTCCGAAGATAAATCACTTTCCTTGATAACGCGATCCTTTGGAGTGGATTCGCATTTGAAAATAAAAAAAGAAATCAGAAAAACAAAAGTAAACTTCATTTTTTCCAGATGCAGTCTTTTTGTTGCCTTTTAACACTATTTTTCATAGAAACAAAAAAATGTGTTTTGCCGTGATTGGTTTCCTTTTGAGTATGAGTTGCTTACCGCTTTTTTTATTATTTATTTAGTTATAAACGTGCTCCAAGAAATTCTAGCAATCTTCTAAATATAGAAAAAAATTTTCTTGTTTGTAACGTTCTTCATGCCATAAAGTTTGTTACTAAATTTTTCTGTAAAATTCATCCGTCTAAGTTGTGCCAACTGAGTCGTCAACACTTTAAAGAAAAAATTTCTACGATTAATAAAGTATACAACATTGATTATTTTGAAACTGAAGCCTTGAGTTGGTTTGATTTTTGGAATGACTACAAAAGTAGCCTAGATTTTATCGATTTACTACCTTTCACACAATTTTATCCCAGTGTCAGGTATGCTTTATTAGTTTTGATAACTTTACCAGCAACAACATGTACGGTGGAGCGATAGTAGCACATTGCGTCGTGTCAAAACATGGCTTAGGTCAACTATGTCTCTCTGGTTTGTGCACACAGAGACAAAATAAACTGCAACAAAAAAGACTTTATAGATAAAATTGTAGGTATGTTTGGTATTGATAACAGACGACTCCAGTTCCTGTTTAAAGAATAAATTTGACTTTAAATAAATGTTGTAAGCTTTTTTTATGTACTACCTTCACGTCTGAATACCATAACAAAACGCTCAGTAAACTACAGCTAAATTATAAATTTTATGCCTTTATTTGATATGCTTATCAATGCTCTATTACTTATAATAAAAATCTTTAATTGCTACTATATTTAGTATATTTATATAGTATCAATTAAAAAAAAACTTTATATGGAGGCTCTGTGCAAAGATTACAATGACGTATTATTATCTTCATCTTTTTTCGAGCCAATGTCTGTTTAATTTCTTACATTTAATAAAAATCAATAAAAAAAATGTGAATATTTTATACACAAAAACGGTGCTGACAAGTTTAAATTGTCTTCTTTTTTCCACGGACATATAATTTTTTTCTTCTCTTTATTTTATATCTTACATAAGTTGATTTTTACATAATAGATAACAGGAAAAAAAGCAATAACAAAAAATGTTTTGCCCCTCCTTAGAAAATTTTCTGCGGGCGCCTATATATATATATATATATATATATATATATATATATATATATATATATATATATATATATATATATATATATATATATATATATATATTTCGTAGAATAGGGGCTAGTCTACAAAAATGAGCAGTATGCCTCCCCCCATGCCGGCGCCTTTCTGTAAGGAAATTTGCCGTATGTAGGCATTTTTTCGCAAAACAAGCCAATACTTGCTGTAAAAAAAAAAGTGATCTTGGAGTAATCTTATCAAACAATCTGAAATGGAAAAATCTTGTAATAAAATGCGTTGGCAAGCCAACCAAATGTTGGGTCGGATTAGAAAATGTTTTGTTTGTTTAGATGTTAGACTGCTGAAATTACTTTATGTTTCTTTTGTGCGACCGCTGTTAAAATTTGCAGTACCAGTTTGGTCACCTATTCGAAAGGGAGAAATTGAGTTATTAGAAAGAGTGCAACATTGCGCAACTCTATTAATACCATCACTTAAAAAAACCAATTAAGGGAATCGTCTAAAAGCTCTCGACTTGACTACCTTGAAAAAAAGGAGACAACGAGGAGATATGATTCAACTTTTAAATTCTTTGACGGTTTTAACGATTTGTAAACAATCAAAATAATTAGTTTTCTACAAACTCAAACAAGAGGTCACCGCTTTATATAAACCAAATCACTTAGCAAGCGTATCATGAAAACTTTTTATTTAATAGATCAGCAAATTTATGGAATAGCTTGCCAAGCGAGTTAATTAAAGCACAATCAGTTAACAGTTTTAAAGCAGATTGCTGGATAAGCAGCAATCAAATGTATCGGCTGTCATAGTGTGTTAATACCACACTAACTGGCTTACACCAGTTACAGCAATTACTAATACTAATACAAATATAATTACAATACAAAATAAAATGACAATTTGTGTTTGTGTTTACAAGTTCGAGTAAAATAAAATTTAATTAAAATATTAATTGCAAACATGGTAAATGTTCAATCAACTGAGTATATGAATACTAAAATTAAAATCAAAATCCGACAAAGAGTCACCTTTTGTTATTGTTCTTAACAACCGAAATGATAGAAATTCCTTTCTGAAAGCTGCAAAAAGTTTAAAAAATTCAACCGAGTTTAATAAAGTGTTTATCAATCCCGATTTAACTGTAGCAGAGCGATACAAAGCTAAGTTATTACGCGAGGAGTGCAAACAAAAAAATTTAGAAAATTCAGAACCCTCACTTTTTTATTATGGCATACGAAATGAAAAAGTCATAAAAATTAGCAAATAGCAATCATTTTATAATTGCAAAAACCAAAAATATTTCAGTCACGGCTCATTAACTTCTTTAGTTATTCCAAAGTCATTACAAAAAAATCATGCCTCAAGCATTAGTAAACAACGTATTACTGCTGTAAACAACAAAAGCATTAAAAAGGTTATCTGTTCAAAACGTAGCAACTTTATAAACTCATACAATCACTTAACCACAAATTCGTTCAACAATTTTACAGTTTATCTTTTTAACGCAAGAAGTCTTGCCAACAAACTCAACGATTTTTTTTTATACGTTGAGTCAAACAAACCTGCCTTAATTTGTGTTTGCGAAACGTTTTTCAATGATAAACTCCCGAATTCCATGGTCTGTCCAAAAAATTATTCCATTTATCGTAAAGACCGGGTACGAATTGGCGGTGGTGTAGCTATATACTGCAGAAATGACGTTAAATCCGCCATAGTAAGTATTACTCAAACTGACAAAGATATTGACATCATTTGTGTTGATTTAATTTTTAGGTCTAGTAAACTCCGCTTAATTACTTGTTACCGTCCACCGTCCTATTCTCTTGATGATTATATCTATCTTGAATCAATGATCTCGATAATTAGCAATCTCTGTGAATCTGTTCCTCAATTTGTCATTGTCGGAGATTTCAACTTACCGAAAATTGATTGGGTTAACTATGTTTCGCCAATTGAGAAATGTCATAATCTTTTTTTAACTTTGGTAAATAATCTTGGTATGTACCAATATGTACTGGAGCCCACTCGAGAAAATAATATTCTGGATCTCGTTCTCTCAAATATCATTTCCCTATTAAGTAATATTTCCGTTGAGTGTCCATTTAGTACAAGCGACCATAACTCAGTCTTTTTTTATATAAACACCTTTAATTATTATCAGCCCGAAACAAACTCTGAATCTTTTTACGACTTCAAAAATACAGATATAATTGCTTTTAATTCTTATTTATCAAAAATAAGTTGGGACCTCGATTTTTCTTCTGTTTTTACAACTGAAGAGTATTGGAACATCTTTTCTAATCATCTTCGTAAAGGTATTGATCGTTTTGTTCCAATCAGAACAATATACCATAACAAAAAAAGTCGTTCTTATCCAAAATATATTTATAAAATGCTAATTCGCAAATCTTTTCTATGGAAAAGATGGTCAATCACAAAGACCACCTTGCACAAAAAGGCATTTATCCAATATGCATCAAAATGTAAAAAAGCCATATCCACACACCACAAAAATGTGGAACTAAAACTGGTCAAAGAAAATAACTTAAGTAAGTTTTTTAGTTATGTAAATAAAAATCTAAACAACCCCAAAAAAATATATCCTCTAAAAACAAATAGCAACTTTACTACTACCAATGTTGAGATCGCGGAAGTGTTTAACAAACACTTTGGAAGTGTTTTTACCATAGATGACGGAATTTTGCCTAAAATAAATACCTTTGTTAGTGAACATATTAAGATGAATTTCGTAGATTTTTCAGCAAAGATAGTTTATCAAAAACTTAAAAATCTAAAACCTAGCACATCATTTGGACCAGACGGTATACCAAATATACTTTTAAAACAGTTAGCACATATATAATGTATTCCGCTTTCATATATATTTGAATCAAGTTTTACGTCAAGCTCGTTACCAAAACAGTGGCTTCAAGCTACGGTTTCCCCTATTTTTAAAAAAGGATCTACTTCAGATGCTAACAATTATAGACCTATCTCTCTCACATGTACTAGCTGTCGTGTCATGGAAAGTATTGTTAGTTCAAGTATCGCTGATTATCTTAATATAAATAATCTAATAACACCTAATCAACACGGCTTTTTATCCAAAAGATCTACGTGCACAAATCTTCTAGAGTCAACTAATGACTGGAATAAAGCTTTAGACAGCAATTTAATTACTGACGTGGTATACATTGACTTTCAAAAAGCATTTGACTCTGTACCTCATCCAAAACTTCTGAAGAAACTTGCAATGTACGGCATAATAGATAATCTGCTTCATTGGATATCAGCATTTTTTTCTAACAGATATCAAAGAGTTCTGGTTGGAAATTCACTATCTAATCCAACCTGCATCCTAAGTGGAGTTCCACAGGGTAGCGTCTTGGGTCCAACGTTATTCTTATTATTTATTAATGATCTACCCTCTATAGTAAAAGATCTTAATTGCTCTCTAATGTTATATGCTGACGATATCAAGTTATATAGTTCATTTAAGGATGCCGATTACAGTCACGATCTTGCTGTAGCCATTTATAAAGTTTATCTCTGGTCAAAAAAATGGCAATTAAAAATAGCCAATAATAAGTGCTTTACTCATAGAATAGCATCTACTTCATTTTGTAAAGACATAAATTACAACTATCAATTAGGCGATCATAATTTAACTTGGTCTACAAACCCAAAAGATCTTGGTGTGACCATGGATTCTTATTTGAATTACAGTAATCATATTTCAAATATCGTCCGTGCATCAAACATTCGAGGATATCTAATCCTTAAATGTTTTTAAAGTCGTGATCCACCTGTTATTGTTAAAGCCTACACAACTTATATAAGACCGATCTTAGAATATTGCTCTCCGGTTTGGTCGCCAAATCGCACTAAAATGAACAATACAGTGGAAAGAGTACAAAGACGTTTTATCAAGAGAATTTCTAACCTAAATAATGTTTCATATTCAAGTAGACTTAGTATTCTTGGTTTGGAACTACTAGAAATTCGTCGCCTTAAGCAAGACATGATTACATGTTACAAAATTCTGAACAACTTAGTTTGCCTAAATAAATCAAGTTTCTTTTTATTTAACAACTATATTTACACTCGAGGACATAATTTTAAATTACGCAAACTAAAATGTAAACTCGATGTCCGTAAACACTCTTTCTCACTCAGGGTTGTTAATATTTGGAATAACTTGCCGTCTGACGTCGTGAATGCCAAAAATATAAAGAGCTTCAAAATTAAAATTAACTCTATCGACTTTGAAAAATACTGTTCCGGCTAACTGGTTTTTGTTTTATAACTATGGTCTTATATATAATTGTAATACATATTTTAAATTAACTAGCATTTGTATTATGTGATTGTAGGGCACGTTGTCAGAGTCCTTCATATTTTATGGACCTGCGTGTCCTTTAGAACATGTATCACTGTTCTAATAAATTTTAATCTAATCTAATCTAATCTAGTCATTTTGCAATTTAAAATAACTTTTTTTAGTTTTAGAAAAAATAAAATTGGTTACAATAAGAAAAATTAGAATTAAAGTTAAGAAAATATAAGAAAATATACAAAATGGTTGAAGGAAACAATTACTCATACAGCTATATATATGGCAATTTGGTTTATCTTTACACAAATATTTTTTAAATTTACATGGTTTGAAATCCTGTTTAAAGTCCTAAATCGGCGAGATTTGAGGCTAAAATATAGGTGTGTAACAGTTAAAATTTGAGGCTAAAATATAGGTGTGTAACAGTTAAAATTCCAAACAAACTTAGGCCTCTAAAATTAAGAGGAGAATAAAAAGCATTACTTTATTTCAAATAAAATTCTTGTTAATTTTCTAGCAACTGTGGCAAAGTCTACAGAAGAAGTATACAGAAAAATATATTGAAGTAATGACAACGATCATTATCGAAAGTATGACGACATTATCGAAAATGACGATGTATGTGTTTTAAACATTGTTTATCTTTTAATATTGTTTAAATTAATCTTTAGGATTGTTTAACTAATCTTTAAATAGTGTTTAAATTAATTTATTTTCTAACTTAACTCTTGTTTTTTATTTTCCAGAAATCTTTATAAGAGAAATATTAACTCCGTGCAATGCTAGTATAAAACAGTTGTTGTTTTTTTTAACATAATATATTATAATATAAACCCCACCTGTGGGCAAGTTTTGCGACATTGGTTGGGAAAGAGGCGTGTACTTCCTATTAAATGCTCTTCCGCGGTGCTCTGTTATAAGACCGTGAAGACTTTTTGGGGCACCTTAATCAACTTAAAAAAAAAAAACAATAATAATATATTATTAGGGTTAATACTGAGAAAAAGCATTTGTTTTTTTAATTGCCTTATTATTTTCAAACTAAATTAGTTTGTTAAACATACTAGTTTGTTTTTAAATATTTTCAAAAAATAATACAGTTATTTAACTTATTTGATGTGTATTACTTTATTTTAAATTCAATTGACATTTTTAGTGCTTTCAACCTTTTATAAAATTGGGTTTGTAGATAGAGGAGATACCAAACGTGCAAAACGGGTGTTTATATAGTTTATATTAGTGTTGCGAAGGTAAAATTTACCGGAAAATTTACCGCCTGGTAAATTTTGAAAATTTTTTTCACTCATTTTTTTTTCTTTTTTTTTTTTTTTGATTTTTTAAAGGAAAATTTACCGTTCTCTAATTAAAATTTGCCGGTAAATTTACCGGTAAATTTTACCGGTAAATTTTGAATCAAATTTTACTGGAAAATTTACATCACTAGTTTATATAGCATCACACGAATGTTGAAATATTCAGACGGTCCGTTTATAATCACAAAGTGCGACGTCATTACGACGTCACACTTTGTGATTATAAACGGACCGTCTATATTAATGTCGTTAATATCTTTTCGTAGGTATGCAAACCTATTTTCGAAATATTTAAATCATAAATTTAAATTGGAATTGTACCAGATAAATTAAAAGTAGCTAAAATTGTACTTTTAAAACCGGTGAAACATTTCTAATAAACAATAAATCTCGATACTTCCAATATTTTCCAAAATACTTGAACGAATATTCTCCAATAGATTATATGAATACCTAATTCAAAACAAATTTTTAGATAAAAAACAATTCGGCTTTTGAGCACAGCACTCAACATAACCTGCAATTTTAGACTTAGTTAATAGCAAAAATGATTCTTTTAATAAATAGCAATTTGTTCTAGGAATATTTATAGACCCATCCAAAGCATTTGACACTATTAATCAAGAAATCTTAAAAAAAAGAAAGAAAAATGCAGAATAAAACATTCCTACAGGCATTTGTTTTTAAAGGTTACGTTCTAAATGTTTTTTAAACGTTTTTTAAACGTCTTTTAAACGTTCTTTATGTAAGAATGTTTAGAAGGCGTTTAAAAGACATTTAAAATACATTTAGAACGTAACTTTCAAAAACAAATGCCCGCTGGGATACTACCCTAAAATGGTTTAAAAGTTATCTGTACAACAGACAACAATATGTTAATTTGAATGATAATAAATATTCAAATTTACTAAAAAGAAAATCATAGTATTATCATAATATTTTTATTATATATTCTCAACGACAAGCAAAGCAAGTAAACAATCCTGTTTTACGCGCATACGTAAAACAACATTGTTAACGCTCTTTAAATATTGTAAATATGTGTGGTGGACATTTATATAAACTGAAGACAGGTAAATATTATTTGTTTTTGAAAGTTATAATAATGATTATTTTAATAAAAAAAAAGAAAGTTTGTGTCAGCATTTGTTTCACCAAATCAGCTTAACATCCACTATTGGAACAACCAGTCTAATTTATTTTTACGCTTCATCGGATGACAAAAGAAAAGTTGCTGAATGTGTCGAGAAATGACGATTGGTTGACTCTGGCGCAAAATTTAGAGGTCAATATAAGTTAACTTTCAATAGGATTTGCATAGTAAATTCAAATTTTATCGAAAGAGGTGGTTTTAAACCAAAACAATTGACTGAGGATCAAAACAAAATTATTAAGGCAATTTAATATTAGTCAGCACATCAAAAACCTCCAATTACTTTGAAGGTAGATTATTTTCATTAAAAAAAGTGTACGAGGTACTTTCTACAAGAAACAGTAATGAAAACAAACAAAAAAGAGCTGAATATGTTGTTAACATCAACGAACAAATCACAAACGGTCACCAGATAGTTTGGTTAGATAAAACAAATTTTAACCTTTTTTGTATAAACACGCAAGGAAACGTGCCAAACAGAAAAGTACAGCAATAATAAAAATGCCTGTTTCAAAAGGTGCAAACATATATTTGATTGCAGCTTTAGTAACAACAAATGTCGTCATGATGGAAACTCGCGGATGATCGATTAAAGCAGATTCTTGTAACGAGTATATGTTGGTTATGTTTCACCAGTGGGTTACATCCGGAAATCTTTTAGACGTTTTGGTCATCTTAACAGACAATACTTCATGTCACACTCGTTTGAAAAGGGTGTTCAGCTCAGTTGTAACGTTTAGGACCCTACAATCCAATGTTAAATCCGATGGAATTTGGAAAGAATTGGTACTCCTGCATAAAAAAAAGAAACAATTTATGTGATTGTGGACGCGATACTCAACAAACTACGAATCATTACGCAACAATTTTAAATATGGAAGGTGTCCATATTTAAGATTTTTAATGACATTGTTTAAATTCAATTTAAATTTTTATATTTTTTTGTAAATAAATTATTTATGTTTTATTTATTATTCACCTGATTTCTAAAATGAATTTTTCACAAACAAAACGTTTTAACTAACTAGGATTTTCCCAGGATTTTACTTTCATATTTTATATAGAATATATTATTATTAATTGAAAACCAATCCATATAGCCACCTTTGTCTAATTAGGAACCAACTTTTAATTACAATGTAAATAAAGCTTCTCAAATACATCATGCAACATACGTTTCTCAATTACAACTTTCTTTTTCTCAATAACATATTACAATTCTAAATTACAACTTTTAAATTTTCAATTATATCTTTTCTAGCATTGGGCTACTACAGGAATATGTACCGCAAAAACCACATCAATGATATCATACTCATATTTTTTTCTAGAAACGGTATTGAAAAAGTTTCTTTATGTGTTTCATTATTTCTACTAAAAATAACTGCTTCCTGGGGGTTGCTAAAAAATTATTTATAAATGTTTACTATTTTTCACTCTGTCAAAAAGTCACTGTTTTTTCACCTCGCACCTCATCATATGCACCCCAAATACCACATAGCGTTTCTTTGGTATCTAAAAATAGATCTTAAAATTGCTTCAAAAAGTTGTTTATTTTTGTTAAAAACCTGTATCTATACCACAGGTGACTAACTTAACTACTTTAATCTTGTCTTTGCTTTGAATTATTGTTGTAGTAACTTGTAAACATATTTTTATATGTTATGCAGGAATAAATATTAAAATATTCAAAAAATGACAACCAAATTTACCTTACGTTTTGGAACAAAGTCTTTCAATCCAAATTGTAAAGCAGAAGCAGTAGTTACAAGAAAGCAAACAAATGCAAAAAACAAACAGTTGGTAGAAGCTGTAGCATGGTGCAAAGATTAGAATGTGTAAGAAGGCAGTGTGCCCTTAAATCAGGACTTTTCCCCTTGATTAAAGATTGAGAAACAATAAATCGACGTCTGGATAATAAAATACAGGCAGGCAAAGAACGGCAATACGCTTCGAGAAAAATAAAATTAGATCCTTGCAAGGTATCAATAAAACACAATTGACCAAATTAATGTTAGACACATTGAAAATAAGAGATTACACTAACAAGAAATAAGGAGGAAGAATATATTAGCCACTATCATCTGCTGAAAAATTGGCATTAAAAAATCAACGGTATGTTTACAAATAGCTTAATTTTTTAGTATCTTTAGCACTCTTATAGCTATATTTTGCATGAAATCTCAGCCAAAAAGAGAAAAAATATTTCTGCTCCTTTTGGCTGAGATTTCATGCAAAACATCAAACGTCAGGGACAAGTTCCAATCAACAGAACCTTAAATTGTATAAGAAAAATGGCTCGCAATCACTTAAGTTTGTTTGTTATTAAAAAAATGCTATGTTTCATGTTTCTGGAGAATACATATTTACTTAACTATATTCTGGAGAATACATGTTTACTTAACTTGTTAAACTATAATGATGTATTAGGCTTTAAAGCTTTCTCTTTTTTTAAATGCGGTAGTGGTGTGGTGGTAGAGCGCTCGCTTCATAAACGAGTGGTTCCGATTTCGATCCCCACCACGTCCCTGGTAGTACCGCGCTCAACTCATTTCTCCGCGCAGCGGCGAATGGTGAATTAAAAAAAAAAAAAAAAATTGCAAATAGGTATAACTGATTTAATCAATTATATTGTAGATGTACTAGCAGAGGAACTTATTGCAGCTGGAATTATGACAGAAGCAGAGCAAATTGAGGAAGGGATTTGGAAAATAATATTGACACCACAAGAATTTTTAATAATGATGAAACTCCTCAATTCTTTCATTATAGTGTTGATGGAACTTCTTCTGGTTTAGTCTATGCTGCAAAAAAAGATCAATGTAAAAAAATGCGAAAAGAAAACAGAGAATGTGTTAGCATTCATCTCTTCATGTCATTCTCAGTTTTTTTTTACTTTCGTATTCTATATTTACAAAATGATCGGTCTTGTGTTTTCTTATAACCTACATTTTCTGAAATATCTCGTTTTACCGATACTTGATTTAACTTAAATTCTCTATATATTTAAAAATAAAGTAATAAAACTGTTTTTCACAACTTTTTAAACTCACTTAAACTGAAATAATACTAATAAAACTATACCTTATAATTCCAAGAGAGGTCTGTACGTGTTAAGTAAAATTTGGCAATGTTGGTATAACAAGCCTAATGGTACCAAATGAAGCAGCAATTAACATAAAACGTCTACTAGTAAGTTCATAACATAGTGTATCAGATAGACACATTTACAGTATTAGACAAAACATTTGCAACCAACATCGAACAATGCTAAAAAGTGTTCCTAATTTTACGTGTCTTAAAAACGAAACGAAATATACTACCAAAGCAAACAGTTCAGGAGTCTGGAGTCATAGCATACCGGCAAGAGCAATCAGCTGACAGGTGACAGCACAAAGGAAGAATTTCGTTGACAAGTGCCATTTTGCAGTGGACAAAACAAGTGCAACTTTTTTGGTTTGTTTCATAATCTTAAGTCTTGTCCGTGTCAACGTCACGGACGTTTTAAAGGAAGTATCCAGAAGTTTCCAGAAGCATGCAGAAGCTTCCAGATGTTTCCAAAAGCAGCATCTGGAAGCATCCAGAAGTACCCAGAAACATTCAGAAACATCCAGACGCATCCAGAAGCATTAAAAAAAAGCATCTAGAATTTTCCAGGACAGGTTCACTCAGGTTCATTTATATAAAAGACATGTAAACCGACATGTAATTCAGTATATGGAAGTCAATCAGTCAGTATTATCAAGACAGTTTATCGAAGTGAGTTTTATCAAAGCGTTTTATCGAAGAACATCAATACGAGGAGTGAAATACAACAAGTGTTTCATTACATCAATACAGTCCACATCCAACCAAGACGTTGTGTTCCACAAAACATTATTGTATCATCACAAGGTAAATGAAACACGGTAAGCCTTGAGAAGCGTTATTATTTATTTTTATTATTTTTATGACTTCAAGTGCAAAAATGGCTCCCGACAGTCTTGGATTGGAACTAAGAAAGAAAATTATTGGCGATTACGTAAGACTAGGTCAACAATTAAGCGATTTCTTCACCTGCAACGACGAAAAAACAGATTCTTGTATAGTTCATGTTGTTGCTCACTGCAATGATTTATCAAGTCTTGTGAGTCATGTTATTCATTCCCGCAAAATTTCTGGTGGCTATTTTGTTAAGCTCGGAATTGATGGTGGCAAAGGTTTTCTCAAGTTTTGCCTAAGCATTGTTGATACTGCGTTAAAGAATGAAACCAGCTCACGTCACCAACAACAACCTCTTACTCAAAGGACTCGTAAAAACACTGGAGTTAAGAGACAAATTATTGTTTGAGTTTTAGAAGATTTGCCAGAAACACACTCCAATATTGAACAAATCTGGTCACTGATTAATGCAAATGGAGTTAAACTAATTTTGGCTTGTGATATGAAAGTTACAAATATAATTTGTGGTCTTCAAACTCATTCAAGTACACACCCTTGCACCTGGTGTGACTGTTTAGATAGAAGTTGTTAAGTGGCCAGCCGCCCTCCACATTCAACTGAGCCCGTATAACGGGGCCAGTTTGAGGGAAATGAATGTAGGAAGTTTCTTAAAAATGTTTTGGTCTATAAAATGAAAACTGTACATGTACCGATAAAATAATTATAATAAAAAATTGTTGGCATTACATAGTAGAACACTCATGTAACCGTTATTTTAAAAATAGTGACCAAATTTCAAAGTAATCGGTAACGCTTTGAGGTATAAGCAGCAAAAAACTGCCAAAACTTTAACTAAAACTGCAATAAATCCTACACCAGTCATCCAATCAGGCTGAAATATTGTCCAGAGTTTGGTGTGACTATTGGCTACATTTGCACCAATTTTTATCAAATTATATTGAGTGGTTCAAATTCTACAAGTGTATTTATTGGCGCACTATGAAGTCAAAATTTGACTTAATTTGAACATTCAAATTAAATTATTTTCCGCGGACAAAATTAAATGATTTCAAAATTTGCATCATAGGGTACCTTTATGTGTACGCTGACTTTCCAATTAAGTGGCGTTCTTGGGACAGCTAGGTAGACGTTATAAGGATCCGTGCTAACTTTGGCAATAAAAGATTTATTTTCTTGGACAAAATTTGAATTTTTGGGTGGACTTTGATTTTTGGGTGGAATGCTTTTTGAAACTGAATAAATTTCAAATGAAAATGCAATCGTTTTTTTAAATATTCATAAATGCTTAATAAAAAGTTAACTTTGCAAACTTAGTCTTGTTTTATATTATTTTAACTGAAAATATTGCTTTAAAAAACCAGAGAAAATTTATGAAAAGACTTCAACAAATTATTTTGTGCTATAAATACATCAATGTTTTTTTTTCTTTTTTCTTTAGCTTGAACATTTAAATACAAAAAAATTGTTTTCTTATATTTATTATATTTAAATACGCCTGACTACAGCACAAAATGGGTCGGTGTTGTTTTTGGGTGCGTTGTTTGTGCGCGGTTTTGCACTAATGATTTAAGAATATATTAGGGTAAACAAAGTTGTTTTATTAAAAATTCAACTTTCGAACAAAATAACTTCAAAGAAAAATTCTAAAAAACATTCGAATGTCTTTATTTCTTTGACGACAAAAATCTTTTAAAGAAGCAAATGGCAAAAACTTAAAAAATAATTGACATTTTCACAATTTAATTTTTCATTAAAAAAATATCAACTACAAAATTACGTAAATTAAATATCTACAAAATTACATAAAAATAAATACATAAAACATTAAACAAAAAATTTTCAACATAATATTGCTTTCTTTTTTTTTGAAGTTTTAAAACCTCTAAAAAAATATTTAAACGTTAAAAATTATTAAACAAAAAATAAAAAATATTAATCTAGTTTTTATTTATATTAATTATAACTATATATTTCACGATCAATGTAATAAAAATTACAATTAATGTTAAATAATGTTAAAACAATAAACCTTAAAAAAAACTTGAACGTTTAATTTTAAAAAATTAAAAAAAAAAATGTAAACATTATTATTATTATTACTATAACTATTATTAATAATATTATTAAATAAAAATTACATACAATAATAATATAATAATAATATATTATAACTAATAATTATATATATATACACTAAAACAATTAAAATAGATTATTATTAATATATTTTAAATCGAATTTATTGTATGATCCTTAAATAATAAAAAAATTATTTATTAATATCAAACATTATTAAAACTAACTTTTATATTTTAAAGCATGTATATTTATAGAATAATGGATTAAATATTTCATTTATAATTTATTATTGTTTCAATTTTATTTAAAATATTAAACATTTTTTTCGTGTTTTGTGTTTATTTTTTGGAGTTATAAAGTTTTTTAATTCATCGAGGTTATGAATATATTTTTCACGGTACTTGATCCACAACCACTTGACATTCGAACAACGAATCCATTCACAAATCTCTTCAATGAAATCGATGTCGTCGTGAAGTAAAAGAAAATTTTTTTGTTCACAAAGATTAATCCACGGAAGAAAATTTTCTTCAAAATCTTTTTTCGTTATTAAATAACGTGAGATGTTTATGAACAACTTTTCAATCTTATCTTTCGGTTTCAATCCTTCTAATTTTATTGGACAAAAAAAGTCGACATTGCGAACATTTGTTGAACATTGAATTATAAGATTTTTTTCTTCATCACTTAAAATATTTTTATCAACACGTAACCTCGATAACTTTCTTCCAGATTTAATGTAATGATTTACGAAATAATTTTCACAAGAAGTTTCGTAAGAAGTTTTTCCATTGTTAATCGAAATCTTCCACTCTCGTTCATCGACGATTAATTTTATTTCATCAGTTAATGATGATTGACTTTCATAAAAACATTCAATGAATAAATTAACGTAATAAGTTTCAAAATGATAATTTTTTTTATCGTGACTTTGACGAGATAATTTAAGTAGACAATCTAAAGAAAAAATATATATATATATAAATCAACAAATAAATAATTTTAACAATAATTGAAATTATAAAACGTAATATTTAATATTTACGTAATATTTATAAAATAAACAAATAATCGGAATTTTATAAAACATAATATATACAATAAAATAATCTAGATATTAATACATATATTTATATTAAGTTATAATTAAATAAAAAATTATATACAATATATTATTATTATTGAATGCATAAGAAAAGGTCATTTAATCACATTATATAAAAAAATAATTATATTTTATGTATATATTTTTTAAAATTAAATTTGTATCGTAATTCTTTATTAAAATTTATAAAAAAATATTTTTATTTTATTAATTTGAACATAATTTTTATAACATTTTAAAAAAATAATTTCATTTTATCACAAATGTAACATACTAAAAATAATATAAAACAATTTAATCATTTATATAAATTAAAAAATACTTCATTACATTTACAATATTATTACAAATAAATTTAAAAATTAATTTATATTCAATCACATAATGTAATAAGACACCAAGAAAACGTATGTCATTTAATCACATTTAGAGTGCAATGAATAATTTTATAAATCGAATTTGTAATTTCAAATTTAGAACTTCGAAAATGTTCTTCAACAAATTTTTTTAAAATAAGTTGAATAAATTATACAAAACTCAAAGAGTGAGAGTTTAAATATGTGTTTATTTGAATTCGACGATGATTGGAAACTTTACAAAAAAAAAAAAAAGCGCTTTAAATATAAAATAAAAAAGCAATTTAAATATTTTATAATATTAGATAAATTTTATAAGAAAAACATTTTATATAACATTGATACAGTCACGATAATAAATTTTTATCGTTAAAGAATAGCTACAAAGCTATGGTTACTATGGTTACCAAGTCTCCTATTTTTAGAAGAGCACAGTGCCAAACCAATTTTTCTTTGTTCTTTAAGATGCTCCAAGAAGCCCTGATGGTCTTACCATTATATAAAAAAATCAATATTTTCACTATGCTACCCTCTATACAAACAGGACATCTGGTAACACTAGACCTAGCTACAAAAACATATAAATGATTTTAGAAAGAAAAAATCAACAAACATAGTTAAGATAAAAATCGATAGTCGATCAAATATAATAAGTTCCATTAATCATATCAAATGTTTGTTGTTAAAAAAATTGATAAAATTAAAAAAAAATTTTTTTGAAACAAATATTACAAATTTAAAGCTTTATAACTAAAAAAAAAAAAAAAATTAACTTCAAAACACACAACCATTTTATAAATATATTTTTATGAACTTTAAATATATAATATTTCTGTGTATTCATAAGCTAAAGTAACTGAGACTCTAGACGTATTTAAACATCTTTTGTAAGCAAAAAAAAAATAAAAAAATAAACGAATTGTGGAAATGTTTTATATAGATAAAAGGTAGATTGAAAAAAAAATTTTCAAAAGTACAGTCTGTTGAAAATACAATCAATTAATACCCGAATTATATTGTAAATCGATTAACACCCGAATTATATTAATCAATATTTTATGTTTTATTTCAATCTTTATATTAAAAAGAATAAGTTGAAGATGTTTACTTTTTACAACACTTTTTCTTGTAATTTATAATATAATTTACTTAATATAAAATTTATTTTCATTTAAACTTATTTTAAAAACAAATTTTTAAAAATAAAAACAAATAATTAAATATAAAAAGAAATATACTTACGACTTACGGAGATTAAGAAGTTTTTACTAGTTTAAGAAGTTGTTACCAGTGTTAATTAATAAACAATGATAACACAGTGACTTTATTTATTCATTTAAAGAGATTTTATATATTTAAAACTCGATTGTCGAACTTCAAAAAATCCTTCCACAAATTCGAACAACACAAAAGAAATTCGAAACAACCGTTTTGCTAATAGATATCGTAACGACCGCAACCGTTTAAAAAAAAAAGAATATTTGTGTTATCATGAACAAATATTTTGATCGCATTTTATAAAATTGTATTAAAACCACGTATAAAATTTAAAAATATGTTGATTAATAATTTAGACATTTTCATTAGAGAACATAAACTAATAATTTTAAAAATTTTCTATAAAATAATATAAAAACAATACAAATTAAAAATTTTTTTTCTGTAATACCATTATCATCATTATCGTGTAAGCACAACTTTTTTATATTATCTTTTAAACACATGGAAAAAAAAGGTTTTATAGAGAATATTTTATGCGTAACTGCTAAAAATCGATTTTTTAGGACACATTTGAAGTGCTTAAAGCATATTTTAAATTTAAGCATAATTTAAATTTATTGTTATACATATTTGCTTAAACCAAATATTTAAAACAACTTTAAGCGATACAAATTCGCTGAATGCTTTTTGCACGCTATTTGTCGTTTATTATAATGAAATTCCCAAAATTAGAACAAAAAATTTTTTAATACTTTTATACTTTTTAAAAGGAATTATTAAACCTCGAAGGTTTTAAAATTGTATAAAATTGTTAATTCTAATAAATTTAGCCATTTTTTTTGTACCTTAAGGTTAAATTAACAATTTTTTTTATATTATTCATCATTAATGGTTCAAAATTATCCAATGAGTAAAAAAAATAAACACGTCTTTCTAACGCAACGAACATTTTATTTATTGATCAAACTTTACAAAATTTATAAAGAATTTATACAAAAACATCATCCAGCAACTGATTTAAACAAAGCCTTACCAAACATTACCTTGCTGAAATTAATAGTACTAACATAATTGTGTCTCTTATGTATATTATATATTTAAAAATAGATTTCAATTTTTATCAAAACATTTTCATCATAATTTATAAATAGATTTTAATAATAAAAATAAAAAATAATATAAATATTAATAAAAATAAATTTTAATACTCAAAAGATATATAAATTTTAAAACATATTTCATAAAAAAATTTACAGTTTTAGAAAAAGAGTAAAAAAAAAAAATTTGTTTTTAACAGTTTTTCTCTCATGTCAACCTAAAATCAAAAAGGTTACAGAAAAAAAAAAGAAAAAAAAACCAACCCAAAAATATTAACTCAAGGGTCGTTTTATATAAAATCACCTATTGGCCCCAGGATAGCAACCTCAGATTTGTTTTAAACATTGACTACCCACATATTTTATGAAAAAAAGCAAAACATAATCCTTAAAATTTCAGCTTCATATCTGCTTGAAAGTTATGAATGGACTAATAATGTTTTATAACCAAAATAAAAATAACTGAAATTTTCAGTGGAATTTTTTGTTTTGAATTTGCAATCATTTTTATCATAAGAACAATTATTATATCATTATTGTACTTTGCACTCTGTACAAAGTCACAGAATTATTGTTAAACAAACTTTTCCATGCTAGCTTTCAAACCTTGTTTTTCCTATTTTTTATATGCGTATTTTGTTTATTTTAAAACACTCACTCACAGCTTAGATGATTGCACTGATGAGCTCCAAAAATTTTATTCAATATTATCAATTTTAAATTATTTATTAAATTAAATTCAATCAAACAGATTTTACTTTTTTACTAACAGTCTTATTTACTAAGACTTTAGTTATTATTTCATGTACTTTATTGCACCACAGACATACAAGATCACATACACACAAAGGCATAATGATAGAAATTAAAAAAAAAATAAAATTAAAGATTAAATAATATAAAGATTCAATATATAGATTAAACAATAAAAAAATATAAAAATTAATTTATATTTTTTACATACATTAGCATTGCATTTATTTCCACTGTGTAAAAGTAAAAATACGCATAAAATAACATAACATAACATAAATCAATTGAGAAACTAAAATAAACTCTGTTGTTTTACCTTTAGATTTCAATGTTGATGACTATCATCCAATGATTTACAAACAACCTAATAGTATCTTGCTTAACCTAGCAGATACTTACATATCAACTCATCTATTTGTTGTGAAATTAGGTTTGAATCTAATTCTTTTATTTATATGTGCTTTCTTTATAGCACTTCTTCATTTAATCACGTTTCTTTTTATTCTCTAGGGAGGATTCTACAAAAACATGTAACCCACCATTTCAGATTTTATTCATATTTTGTAAAAATGGAAACTTATATAACATAGACATTGCAAAATATTAGAAATGCACTGAAATCAAATGGGTTTTGGAGATATTGTTACTTTAAAATCAGCTATTTATAGTAATTTTTTTTGTTTTATGGAAATTTTGATTTTACTATAAATTTTGATTTACAAGTAACTGTAAATATATGCTGTACATACATACATACATACATACATACATACTATATAAACTTTAAACTAAACATGAAATTAAGATGAAAATTAGCACCAGTATAGTTCTAAAGAAAAGGATTTAGAATATGACACTTGTTTTTTAATAAAAACAATTAAAACAATATCAATATGGGAATCGTACTTTATCTATATTCTTCTTTGGAAATTATAACAAAGGAAAAACTAGGGTCTGGTAACTGTGGTAGCACTAAATTTTTGTGAACTTTGTTTGCTTTTATTAAAACAGAAATAATAGATATATTAAAGAGTTACATTTATTACAACGATTATATCTATGGACCATGCATTGCCTTGTGTCTCTGTTAAAAACAATGTTATCAATAAGTTTCTTTTTCTTCAGTTTAACTGAATTGAGCATATTCTTTATGTTTTGATGTATTGTACATATAAAAACAGCATGGATTTCTTTTTGACCATTATAAATGCACTATTTTGGCTGCAACTGAGCTAATTTAGAGAGTTCTATTTTGGTGTAAGGGTGTTCTAGTTTGAATTCAATAATTCCTTTATACTGCAAAGTGATCACTTTGGTACATGTTTATTTTTGGAGACACTTCCAAAATCAATTAAACCTAGCAACTAACAGCAGAACCGACCTTTACAATTATATCTTATAAATAATTTATTGTAAAGATCGGTT